GCAGCTTTTCATGCATATAATATCAATATTGCACATTGATTTATACATTGGGAGAGATCCTCGCTCGATTATGCGAGCACATTTTGGTTGAAGTCAACGTACGTCGGTCAATTTTTTGACGTGATGAAATGTTTGCACCTTGACTACATTATACAAATTAAAATTAATTGTACATTCCTCATATTTCTAAATCTGTTATGGCATTAAAATAGTACCTCCGGTTGACTTATTTCTTTGTATTCATTTTAAACATAATCGTGGAATCCAATTATGACTTTTCTTGACCTTTTAAATATTTAAAGCGACAGAGTAAATTAAAGTGCAATATCATTATCATTTCAGCAAAAAGCCGTGGAAATTCGACAAGCCTTTACTCGGCAATTAGGGCGACTGTGTAATGAGAGAGGTTTTTTATATTTATCGTTCCAACGTCTGACATGAAAAGGGGTCTTTGTTACAATACAACTGATAAATTAAATCTTACACTACTTGTTTTTTTTAATCTACAGTTGCGTTTCTTTATTATGTCCTTATATTTCATGTGTCATTAAACCACGTGATACCAAATTCAAATAGGTAAAGCCATTATGAAAAAAAATATTTGAAAAAGAAGCAAAATGTCAAGTAACGCTTAAATTGCTTGTATCTAAGTTCCTTAGATACACATAATTACCTTCAAGTGAAGAGTATTTGTGAAAGATCATAAAGTATATCAAATATCATGAAATAAAAAATAACGAACAATATTCAATCTAAAAGGCATTTTTGCATATAAAGTGTGTGCACAATTACGACTTTCAAAACACTATATTATACGGATGTTGCAACCACTATTGAAATAACGACTGCTATTGAAATAATTATTTCAATAGTCGTTGAGAGTGCATTTCAATTTCAAATATACGTTGTAACCACTATTGAAATAATGTTTACAATTGAAATAAAATTTCAATAGTGATTGAAAAAATGATTTAAAATGTGATTCAAATGATTTTTTGATAGTTGTTGATAATTGAGCCAACACTAAAACCACATAGCAATACTTATTGAAATTACTTAACCATTAAAAAAATTATGAGGGTTAAATAAGTGTTCATTATGTTCACCAACAATTTTAATTAATATTTTGAGTTTACTATTAAAATTACGACTATTTGTGAATGAGCATTTTAAAAGAAGTTAAAATTAAGTTTCAAAATACCACCATATTTTTATCACTATTGGAATAACACTAACCGTTGTTAGAAACTAAATGCTATTTTCACTGAAATTTAGTCAATTTAACTCAATGTTTTGACAAGTAGTTGCTGGATTTACTATCCATATTTGTAGTGTATGTAATCCTATAAACATGACTGACAATTTATGAGTGATAATGTATGTCAATACTTATTTATTTATTTTGTGATATATATGATAATTGTCTTGAAAAATATATTCATTAAATTAAATTTGGAAAATATTTTTTTCAGTATATTGCTTTTCAGAAAATCATCCATGCACAATAAATACTCTTAAAGACCAAAATTAACTTAAACAACACTTTGAATTACATTGTACCACTTTGTGAGTATACTTTAGAACAAACTAAGGCCTACTTATTATAATTAAGCTAATACTGACATAGACGTTGTAACTTTTGGTAATTAAAGAATACTAGTACATCATAAAACAATAGCATATATACGTATATATCAGAAAATAGGCAAGAGCTTGAATATTTAAATTAAAATGGCTGGGATCCCAGATATTATCTATGAATTATAATTTACTGAGTTCATATAAATTCTTTGTATCATTTATTATATGAACTTTGTTTAAGATACTATAAGATACTCTAAAGTAAAAAACTAGATCCACTTTAAACTATACAATACACTAGATTAAGTTTAAAATCGATCTATTTCATTCAGAAAAAAATTATCTTACTGTTCAAAGGTCGTAGGTATATTAATATTTCAAAAATCTTTAACAATAATTCAAATGTTATAAAGATGTATTAAAGTAGTTGATAAATAGTAGTTTAAGAAATGAATAAATTTTCTCAAATCCTTTTGGTAAAATTTGTTAGCTGGAAACTCTTTACATTATTGGGGTTTTTCTAAATGTGTACTTTTTTCTAATAACATTTCTATTTATTAACTGTATACAGGGAAATTTTCGACCCCGTTTTATTTTCGCCCCTTTCGTCCTGATCACAATTGGGCGAATTTAAAACAATGAAAATTCAAAGAAAACAGCAAAATTTCTTTAACAGAACTGAATTTGGACGAATTTAAAATATTGTTTGCAAGTTTAAGAGGGCGAAAACAACGCAGGGCAAAAATAACCCTGTATACAGCAGTACTTATGGGGTATTTTCGACTAAAATTCGAGACAGTTTTGTACCACGTATTTCTTGAAATCCTATATCCATTAGTTTGAAAATATGATATTTGTTCCACATAGGTTAAGGCTGCGTTATCCTTTTAAACAGGGTAACATACCTTCGTCTGAAGATGTGATCCAGATTTTAGAAAGCGTACGTCATGGGTAGATAATTACATTGTAGAATCTCATTATAATTTAGTTTAAAATTTTTCTAAGGTGTTAAATTTCAAAGTAGCGTGGCTTATCGCTGTGAAAGAAGCCTTTAAAAAAGGTTCATACTTTTTCATCTATATATTAGTAAAATAGGTCATTAAAATCAATTTTCTATTACATGTATATTGAAATATATTTTTGTGATGCATATTTGGAATTTTTAAAATTATTTTTTATTGAAATTAAGAAAATTGCGTTGGACTTGAAACAAGAGGGACATTGGCCACATCGATCATCTGAGATCATCGGCTTGAAAGATTGATTGATTGTATATTGTTTAACATCCCTCTCGAGAATTTTTCACTCATATGGAGACGACACCACTTGCCTGTGGAGAGCTGCAAATTTTGTCCTATGCTCGGCACTCAGAGCAATTGAGCAGGGAGGGATCTTTTTTGTGCCAGCACCTACTGCGACACGGGGCCTCGGTTTATACGGTCTCATCCGAAGGACCGGTCTCCACGTCCCACAGTGGGATTCGAACCCGCAACGGAAGGATTTAAAACTCCTTACTTTGCGACTCTAGAGCATACACTCTAACCACTGCGCCACGCGGGCGACTTGGCTTGAAAGAAGAAATCAACTTAGTATTGAATGGAGAATGGACGGGGAAATTCAATTTACACTAACTAATATTACTATTCATAGCTCTGCTGCTCCTAAACTGTCATGGTAGTTCATTCTGCGGATTTTTTCTCTTTGATAGGGAGTTCGGGGCTTCGAGGTCCCGCCTGCGACTGCCCTAAGTCGAGTGGGTGTGTTTGTGAAACACTATGCACCCGGCGGCAACAAAGATAGTTTCAGCATAAAGGTTACCTTCATGGTCACATGGTTATTGCCTTTGGTGTCTTTTGAAAGAACTTAATAAGTGGACTACGCATATCAAATATGAAGTCTCTGTCTCTCATTGTTAAAAAGTTCTAGCGAAAGTTCGAAAAAAAGTACTTTTCCATAGTACTTAGTACTCTTTCTCTAAGGCCCGCGGAGAGCATATCACATTTCTCACTTTCTTTGGTGGTAAAGAATGCTTTATATACTAATAAATAGATTTAAATGCCTTTTGATAAAAAGAAAAATAAGTTTTATCACCAATACTAATAAACCCTAATTTAACCATATTTTTATTTTTTAAAAAATGAAATACTTACATATCGACAGTAACACAAAAAAATGTGCTTGATCACAGTATTTGGTATTAAATTTCTAGCAAATGAGCGTCAGTTCAATCCTGTTAACATATATTTAATTTTTTTTACTTAACCACTGTCAAGTTCAGTCACAAAAAGGTTATCTGTGGTGTCCATGCACAAACCACAGAAATCGTTTATATCAGAGCTTCGAATGAACCTGTCCGTCCTGGTATAGGATGAGGAGACAGCGATTATAATGATCTGCAGCCAGGATTTGACTCCGACTGTCTGTTGTAATGCCAAGTGGATCAAAGGATTCCTTGGAAATAGAGGGATGACCCGTGTATTTAAATCTGAGTACACCTTCCTGATTGACTACTATTACTGCTCTAGCTTTACAGTCAAGTCAGCTACACAAATATCCAGGTTCCTTTTCTCAGTGATTTACCGGTATTTAAAGCAATCAGGGGAATACAGGGGGTCATCTTCACTATCAAACTGAATGGTTTGTTTCTCTGTAGATCCAGAGTAACAGACAACTTCTGATTGTGTTTCATCGTCACTGAGCATGGTAACCAGGAGGTCACCAGAAGAGGTACTACAAACGTAATAAGGTTTCCACCCATTGAGTCTGATCATTTCCTGTATCTGTTTATCCTTCACCATGTTTACTGTCCTGGTATCCTCATGAGTATAAACTAAGACTCCACTCCTTGTCACTGCTATGTCACATGGTATGTTCCCTTATTTGGTTTTGATTGACTTCAGTAGTTTGCCTTGGAGGTTGTAGAGTTTCATGATTCTGTCATCATCATATGTCCAGATTTCTTCATCACTGAGTCAGGTAATACTCTATAGACTGTCACACCCAGTGTCTATGGTAATTATGGGCTCTGGTTCATCAAGCAGTGGTTTGACTGGAGGAAAGGATATAGCTTCTGGTGTCTTCATTTTATAGCCATGTTCTTCTGTTGTAATGGACAATGCTGACAGAGAATCAAACATTTGATGGAGCTGTTCCTTGCTTCTGTGATGAGGGGAAAGAATTGACAAAGAAAATTTGACTTTAGGAGGTAAATTGATAAATTCAGCATTTCTTGAGATATACGCAGAGGCTAAGACTTCATTGGAATCAAGTATTTTCTTCAAACCAAGCATAGTATCTTCTACTTCAGAAGTAATCTTTTTCATTTCATTTCCCTGTTTATTCAAAACAGTCAAATGTTTGGTTTTCATCTGATTTATTTCAGATTTCTGTTTGTTGACTATAATGTTTATTTCACGATGTCAGATTTCTCCGTGCTCGGTGACTGTTGTAATTAATGTCTCATATTGCGCTTCCAAGTTTAATTTTTCAGACTGTAAATCTGACTCAATTTCTTTATAAGTAGGATATATTCTCTGCTCAAGTTCTATAAAATCTCTTTTTAAATCTTCTGTTTTGGAGTTGAGTTTCTTCAGAACATCTGATATATAATGCCCATCGTGTTTACTAGAGATGCAGGTAGAACAGGCAGGAGCGTCACATTTCTCACAATAAAGTTTACATTGCCTCTGGGTGTGGTTTGGACATTTTGGGTATTTAATAGTAGGGGTAAACTTCCGGTGTTTGTACTGTACAACAACAACAGAGAGATGCTCCCCTACACAGGCCTTACACAAGTTAATCTGACAAAGTTCACAATGACTCTGTAATGCAGCTGTTTGACATAGGTCACAGTCGAGAATTTCTTGAGCACTGGTTCGTGGGTTCATTTCGTTGTGGAACTGTCATATGATATCATGGAACTGTAAACATAACGAAAATGAATTTTTTTTTCCTTAATGCTTAAGTCAAAATTTATTGAAGAAGGATGAAAATGGCTTGAATTTATGGATAATGAATTGAAAAAAACATTTTTAACGCTTTTAAACATATCCTAAAGGGTTTAGGTTTTAATAATAACGTGTTACTGTAAATCACTTTTTATTCGCGAGAACTTTATTTTCGCGTAATTACGCGAGAAAGTGTGCTCGCGAAAATTTAATTCTCGCGTATAATAGTATTCCTTAAGAATATATAAAGCAATATCCACAATTCGCGAAAATTTTGTCTCGCTTATTAAGAGTCAATGACTACCTCGCGAAAATAAGGTGTCGCGAAAATTTAGTGATCTACAGTACCTGAAAATTCAACATGGCTCCCTAAATCTGTGTGAATGTATATTAATAATCTACATGTACCTCCTTGTCCGTACTTTCAGCGTACTGTCAGGTCGTGTTTTAAATACCAACATATTTAACTAAAATAACCGTGACGCACGCAAACTGAGAAAATCATATTATATCTGGCTTTATAGTAAGAAACATTTTTTTGTTTGATATGATGTGATACATGAGTACTTTTGGTAGAGCGTTAACTTCTATTCAGTATGAAGAAATAGACTTATTTATGAAAAAAATGATAAAAAATATAATGACATACGTCTAAATGTTTACCATTTTCTACCAGTTACTTATGGTAACAAAAGACCATTGATATCATTATGATCTTTAATTTACAGTGTACATAGAATATAGTTTGTGTTTTTTTTTTATCTATTTCCATATTATGATATATTATATGAGTTCAATATATAACAACTATTTTTTTTACAAAATATGTTTAATACATTAGAATTTCAACTTTGACTTTGAGTCAGTGTTTTGAAACTCATTTTGCTAATGAACACACGAATGAACATACAATTTGAATATTGATTCGAAAAGAATAATAAAATAGAATGATTTCGAAAGTTATGACCTATCTTTATTTCTTATAACCCAATAAAATAAACATTAAAGATAAATCGTTGAAAAACCCATCGGTTGAAATAAGGTTCTCTAGCTGTAAATTGTTTAGATTACGAGATTAAAAATTATAACATAGAAAGTAAGGTAGCTTTACCGACGAAAAATGGCGGACTCTGCATTTTTTTCCATTCCAGGACATGATACTGCTTTCCGTTTCGGTTCTTTTATTCCGTCAATAGATATTTTGAAATTTAATTTCTTGGAAAAAACAATTTTCCCTATCGACTCAATAATATTATCCTGAGTCAGGAGAGTTTAACCCAATTGATTTAAAATAGCCAGATACATTTTTTTATGAACAGCAATTTACAATGTACATAGAATTACACATAAAGAACCAATAGCAAGGTTTGGAGAGATATTATTCCATACACAACATCATGCCAAATTGCAGACTGGCTTTAGCTCTGGCACGTCTGAACTTCATAAGCGACTTCTGTACGAGCAATGAGACCGGTTAAAAATAGGAAGGGGTCTTTTAAAATATTATTCTCACGGACTTCTGGGCAAGAATGAGAAACCATACTCATGAAAGCTTCCTGAAATACATGTAATAAAGATAACTGTTTTTCAAATTATTACAGAATCGGTATTCCAAATTCAACATAGGAAGATGTACCCCCGCAAACAAAGTGATTGCGTATTTTGGGGGTGGGGTGGGATGAATAGGCTAGGAATAACATTGTCTTTTTCACTGTCCATCTATCTTTCTGCCTCTCAAGGTTTTCCCAGAAGGCCAGGCATTAAATTTATGGAGAATCTGGAAGCTCATATTACTCGATACAAAGATTTCCAATGGCCCTTGGGTGTGTCATGGCATTTGTTCAAGGCAATATTACGGCAAATTCAAGGTCACTAGAGAAAGAGATAATGTTTTGTCCGAGCCAGGTCATTTATATATGTAATCGAGATTATCTGGAAGTTCATACTTGATACAGAGATTTCTTGTGACAAAAAGGATTTGTATTATTTAACTCAGAAAATAGTATAAATTCAATCTGGCCTTTTATTTTTCAAGTTCAGACTTTTCCTTTATTAATTCCTTTGGGAAAAGTGAGACTAAGATCAAAGGTGAGTTCGTCTAAGTTCTATGGCCCCCAGGCCAGATGACTAAAAATAATGCCATTTTAACAAATTCAGGGTCACTGACAGAAATAGTTGTGAAATTCCTGTCAGGCTTATGAATTTCTAATCACTAAAAGTTGTTTGAAATTGGGAGTTTGTCTTGACATAAAGCCAAGCTTATTCCGTAGAGATCAGGGTCACTGACAGAAAAAAATATTTTCTTTTCCACGCTACAAATAGTAAATAAAAGTCATTGGAGGCTCGAACTTGAAACATAGATCATTTATATTTAGAGGTTGTATCATGACCTTGATGAAGGTCTCTCTGGCAAATCAAGGTCAATGACAGAGAGAAAAAATGTTCAAGCATAACTTTATAATTAAGATTCACAAGAGGCTCATACTGAGAATAGAGGCTGTTCTTATAAGAAAGTGAAGTGACCTTGACCCAAGGTCGGCACTTCCTGTCCACAGCTCCAACGGAAGACCTACTCGTTGCTTTGCTACGAGCTCAGCTCTAGCAATTCTTTTTTTCCTCGACGCAAACTTTTACGCTTCGTATCTTCCTCATTCCTGAACGGATTTTGCTCAAATTTTCAGAGTTTTTATACTTTTTTAAACTCGTTTAAAATACTGTTACACAATTCGACAATTACCTTCTATTGACGAGATATTGCCCTTTGATTGAATTTTTCATACCTCCGATTTCCAGACAAAGGCTCAGAAAAGGCAATAATTGGAGCATAAAACCCTTTGAATTTGAGGAGAAAAAGCATTAAAGTTGTGCCCATTGGTTTTTGTTTTTTTGGTTTTTGCATTAAAAATGGCGCTAAAGAGGGGTCAAAAGTTAGAACGCGGGAAACAGCAAAAAATTCGACATATTTTCCTTTATATCTTAAAAACTAAACATATTTTGTTTAGATATGTAGAACAAAAGTTGTGCATATTTGCAAGAGCTTTCATATAATACTATTCAAAAGGGGCTGTTCCCTATAATTAGGGATCTAGGTCCCTCGAAAATTTTTGCTTTATAACACAAAAACGGTAAATATTTCGATCTGGACAAAGTTGTTCTTTTACACCTTTTTGATCTGATGAATATGTTCTTTTTATTGTTTGTTCGATTATACAGGTATTATTGAGTAATACGTAGTAGAAAGCAGGCCAGGTAAAGAGGTAGCGTTTTTCTTTCGGAAAGGAAATCAGGCTTCGTTCGTACAATAAACCTGCAATACACGACGTCTCTTTTGATTCATTACTACCTTATGTAAATCAACAGTTAGGTCTACATCATATTCGAACCAAACTTTACTGTATCCCTTTGAAACTTTTAAATAGTCTTCTTGAAAAGACCAAAAAACATCCAAATTTAAATTCCTCGACACCTGAATATAGGCTCGGTTCTGTGATTATGGATATTGCACATCAAAGGCTTTTTAAACCCGCACGTTTCACGGAAGAAAATGCAGCTAAAACAATCCGTCTTTTCCTTAAACTTCAATATGCCAATAAAGGAATTGACGCGGTTAATATAAGTAATATTCTTAATCACAAAAGGGTCCAGTCTTGTATTCCACCATATTTCAAGTTAAAGACTACTCCTTTTATTTCCTTCAAATATACATCGACCATTGCTTCCAAACTTTTCAATTACAAAAACACTTTACATGGCCTGGATATCGACTATCTGAAAAATAATCCCCTTTCGTGTTCATGTTTTTCTTCGCCCTATAACTATAGTCCTGCTGGACACGTTATTACAGGTGACGTAAAAATAGTTTGTAATGAGGACCTTAGATCACTTATTTTAAAAGGTCCTAAATATAGGGAACCCTGACCCTTCAACTGGCGCCGGAATTTCATAAATATTATGGATTCTGTTGAAAATTACGCCAGACGATGGGCTAGATATGAAAAAGAAGACATTGACACCTTGTCAGAATGGATTAAATGTATCAGATCTATGTTAAAGTCACGTATTAAAAGATTGAGGGGCAAAATGAAAACCATCTATCCTTCTGTGTTCAATAAACCAGAAGTGAAAAAAGAATTAGATAGATTACACTATCAGTACGTACTGTTTCCTGCCGACAAAGCAGGTAACAACATTGTCTTCGTTTGTAAGGCTCATTATATAAATTGCATTATAGAAGAACTTGGATTTAATTCTACAAGTGGTTATCCTACTTATACATATACTTCTCTTTCTAAGGAAGAAATTCTTCAAAATAACCTTTTAGTTTTGAATACTTTTAATATTCCACAGAGCCAAAATAAATTTGAACTACCTTATATATATTGGATTCCGAAACTTCATAAGAATCCTTACAAACAAAGATACATTGCAGGTTCCAGTAAATGTTCAACCAAGCCTCTTTCGTTACTTCTCACTAAAATATTGACAGTAGTGAAGGAAAAACTTCAAGAGTACTGTACAACTATATATTCAAGAAGTGGTGTAAATCAGATGTGGAAACTTAAAAATTCTAAAGAACTTTTGGACAATTTAAAATCACAAGACTTTACAAAAATCAACAGCATAAAAACTTACGACTTTTCAACTTTATACACAACAATTCCCCACGACAAATTAAAGTCCAGGCTTTTTGATATCATTGACAGCTGCTTCTTCAACAAAAATGGAACTCGTAAGTTTACCTACCTCGTCATTGGTCATTTTGGTCATTTGAAAAATTATTTTGTTAAAACAGATTCTGATTGCACACATAAGTAATCTGAAGTTGACATCAAGAAGATGCTTGAGTTTCTCATTGACAATATCTATGTGGTTTTTGGAGACCAGGTATTCCAACAATCTATTGGAATTCCCATGGGTACAAATTGCGCTCTGTTATTAGC